TTCTTCCATGAACAAGAGGGTAAGAGAAAGAGAGACCAACTCAATAGAGTCTCCATGCTGTAATCTACTCCTCATTTAGCCAGCCCTGATTATGGGGACACCTGTGCCTGGCATACTCCAGGAGGGGCGGGTCTCTAGACATAAACCCAGAACCTTCCTATGTGGGTCACTCTCACAGAGCAGTTGCATTCTACCACTATGCCACTCTCTGGCCCCTATATTGCTTTTTTTGAGAGGTTTTTGCTATAGGGCTTGTGCACTCACCATAAAGACAGAGAAAGAGAGACAGGAAGTGAGAAATCACCCCCCAGGCAGGATGGTCACACCGCAATCCCTTCTCCTCTGTTCTTGGGATCTTGGGCACGCACACACACGCACCCAGTGTGAACTTAAGCCACCAGATCTGGGACTCAAACCATGGTCAACTACATGGGAGTCCAGTGATAGAGCCATTACACCAACTGCTGGTCCCCCCTATATTGCTTTTCAGGGAAGACAAACTCTGGCAGCAGTCTGTTCATTTCATGTTGCTATTTAAAAATCCCTAGCTGGTTCCCCATTGTTTATCTATAATAAGATAAAACCCAAACTCCTTTGTATGACATTGAGTTTGTCACAATAAATGAGCCACTCCATTCCCCTCCTCCTGGCCATTATCCCATCATACCAAATCTTTCTTTGTAATGTGATTGTATTAGCTTCCCAGGCTCCTGTAACAGACTACCCAAAACTTAATGATTTAACACAATGTATGATCTTACAGTTCTGCGGCTTGGAAGTTCAGCATGGTTCTTAATGGGCTAAAATCAAGTTGCTGGCAGGGCTGCATTTCTTCTGGAGGTTCTCCAGGAGAATTGTTTCCTTCCCCTTGCCAGCATCTAGAGTGTACCCACATTCCCTGTTTTTGTCCCCCTTTCATTTTCAAAGCCAGTAAGAGCCAGCTGGGACTTTCACATATGGCATTGCTCTGACGCTGACTTCTGATTCCCTGCTTCACCTACAAGGTCCTTATGATTACACTGGGTTCGCCTGTATAATCCCGAATAATCTCCCCATCTCAAGCTCCTTAACTTAATCACATCTGCAAAGTCTCAAAATGGACATCTTGTGTTGGGCAGGCATTATTCTGCCTACCATCACAGTGTTCCTACTGCTTGGAGTATCTGCTTCTCTGCTTAGAAGACTCTTGCCAATTTCTCAGGCATTCCTTACAAGCCTATGAAAATGTCACCATTTCCATGGTGTCTTTTCCTTCAAACCAAGAGACTCATTCCTCTCTGTCCCTCAGTCTCATTGGTGCAGACCTTTCTGGAAGCACTTATCTTGTACTGTAATTTATTTGTCTTCAGCATCTCTCCTGACTAGATCATGAGTCACTATGTCTTATTCATTTCTGCAGCCTCAGGGGCCCAACTCTAAACATTTGTGGGGAAGAAAAATTAATGTGATTATTTTAATGAGTAAAGACCTCAGGTGGAGGCAGAGGCATGACCAATAAATCCACAGGACTTCTGTGTGCAGTATAACTTATAAACTATCCCTGACAGCTCTTAATTGGTTATTATCATGTAATCAGCCAGACTCCTTCAATCTTTTAACCATTCCAGAGAGGTACTGTAGTAAACTTAAAATCGACCATTTGGAGCTTAAGGTTAGTTCTGACTTTAATGTGATTTGCCATGATTATAAATATGGTCAAAGTTTTAAGTGTCCTCCAGCACTGGGCTAGAAATGCTATGTTGTACCCCAAGTGCTGGGTTGGATGCTAGAGTTAGGAAAATCATACCATCTTCAGGATCGCTACATTCCAAACATTAAATAAAGAACACTCATCCAACAAATCTGACGGGGCTGAGTGGGAAGCTAAAAGCAACATGCTATAATTTTATCTGCTATCTCAGTATCTCAAAGTTCTTGCATTCAAAAAAATGTAATTAAAAAGTCCAAATCCAACAAAATTTAAATAGGCTCAAGAATTTCAACTACAAGCCAAAGAAGGAGTTGAATAAAATAAGGCCACCTGAATAGAGGGAGCTCTATTTTTTTTTCCAATTTATGTATTTGCATTCATTCACTGTACATCATTACAGCATACAAAATGAGATTTTCCATACAGAGTACACTGTATATTGTCTCAACCAAGCACATCAACAAACATGTTATTCTTAGCAAATGATCTTCCATTTCTTGTTTTCTGTATGTTTTGCTTTTTTCCCTCCATCCTTGGTTCCCTATCTCTTACCCTCTGCCACCTCCTGTTCTGAGGGAGCTCTATTTTTAAAGGCATTAGTTCACTATAAATGTCTTCATGTCATTAACCCGCCATATGTTGGGTTGTCGGGAAAGTCATGATACATTTGTGCATAGATAAACACAGAAAAAGACATCATGACTCTCCTGATGACCTAAGAGTACAGAAATCACACATGGACATAAATTAAAAATTATACATGCAGTAACAAAGCTGCAAGAACTAAGTACAAAAAAAAAAAAAGAAGACTATAAATTGAATACAAAATCTACTTTGTTATGTCTTTCTTCATTGGCAATGATAAAGTCCCTCTTCTACCTAACTTCTGTTGTTAGTTTTAGGTTAGGGGAATGTGTTGTTTTTGAAGGTAAGGGCAGTGTGTAAATAAGCCTTTGATTACATTTTATTGTCTTTCTTCAAACTGAGGAAATAGGATTTCTGGATCAAGAACCTTGTGAGGTTGTATGAAACCTCACATCAGAAAGGGTAAACTGAGGCTTAGCTGCTTCCTGCAGGTCAGGAAGAACCCAAGGCTAAGGGGAGACTTCTTACTTCTACTTGGGAATGTGCCCTGAGAACAGGAGACTTGCTATAGGTGTAATTTGTACAGATGGTCATCATATTGTCCTTATTGTTTTCAGGACAAGCCTTTCCTGTTATTAAACCTTGGTTATGTATAAATGCAGCGTAGAGCCAACTTTGGGAAATCACCTGAGTATCCAAAATTAGAGCTGGACCTATCTCAGGCTTATAAGCAGCACCAACCTTAAAGGCTATTCATAATCCAATGAAAGGCCCATGGCTTCTTAAGTCTTTCAAAGTATGTTAAGATGTATTAGGGATGCAAACAAGAAGCTTCATAAAACAACCAAGCAATACACAAAGAACTGATGGAAATAAGCTCAAGAATTTGACTTCAGTTAAGAGAAAGAATTGTTTACTTTGTCTCATTAGATCCAATAACCCTAATAGTAATGACACTCTATGTTTTAGGAGGAAACTACAAAAGAAACCCCAGTGGAACCTATGAACTGCATTTTGTGAGTAAAATGTCAGTAGAACTACACTGCTCTTACTCTCTCCTGAAAAGAAATCTTTTTCCATCTTGCATTTCACCCTAAGCAATTTTACTATGTTCAGCATAGTAGCAACTGGAAAAAAAAAATGTGTTTCATCTGGAAACAAAAGTGAGAAAACGATGAAAAAACATTGCGCTTCTGCAATGCTGTTTCCAAGTTTTTAAAATAAAGCTACAATAACACAAAAGATTGCTACAGTAACCAAACGTTTCTGTTAACAAGTATCCTTAAAATATATATAACAATTCAACGGTAATAGATTAGTTTCTACAGAGTGAGCAAATAATGCACATGCAAATCATCTTTTTTTTTTTTTTTTTTTTTGCTAGTTTGCTTTATTTATCTTGTGATTTGCAAGCTCAAGTTTTCTTTGGGGGGGGCAGGTTAAGGGGCTTACAATAAATCGATTCCGCAATTACTTTATATTTTAAACCGATGAAGCACGTTTCTCCATTCCACGCTACGAAGCAATTCGATGTCAACTTGATATGGAGTGATATGCGACAAACTCTGAGAGCTCTAGTCGCGAGGTGGCGGCTTGTGGCACCTACAGCCTCCTGCACTCCTGCTGCATCAGGACGCTGCTCCCTCCCGGCTCCCGGCGCGGAACCTGCACTCAGGGCTTTGGAGCCCGGCCAGTACACCTTCCTCCACTCTGCCCGGGGGAAATTGAGGCACGGTGACCCGAGCCAGGCGAAGGCCCCTGCCTCTGCTTGGCGTCCCCTTCCTCTCCCAGCAGCACGCAGTGGACCCAGCGCTCTCCGCCCTAGGAAGGTTACCGCATGCTCCGCGAACGCGGCTGTCCCCAACCCGCCAGTCTCCTCCCCGCACGGGTTTCGAAGCACCCTGCGCCCCCCA